ATGGAGGGTTGTCTTTTCCCTGTGACTTCACGTGGTCTCCCCTCTGTGTCTGTGTCCTGGTCTTCTCTTACAAGGGCCCCCACAGATGATCTCATTTGATCTTAATTGCCTCTTAAAGGTACTATCCCCAAATTCAGTCACCTTCTGATAGGACTTCAACATAGGAATTATGAGTGGGCACAGTTCAGCCAGTGGCAGGTGGGGGCACTTAATCATTGGTTTTCTAAAGGTGCTCTGAGGAGGTGCATGTTCTTGGAAGGCCATTGAGGCTAGGGTGGCAAGTTGTTCTGCTTTGCTCTGTTCCGAGAGTTTTCCCAGCATGTGAGATTTTCAGTACTAAACTGGAGGTAGTCCCAGGCAAACAGGATGGTCAATGAGCTCATCGGGCTCTCATGGGGGGCACAGGGAGGTGTTCAGTTCCCCAGCCCACCTCAGCCAGAATGGTGCCCTTTTTTTCAGCTTACACATCAGCATCCTAAGTGAGATGAATTCAACAGAAGAGCTTTATAGCCTGAAATCATTAGAAAACCGTTTGATTTGAGGGCCTCTGAGGTCCTCTCTTGCTGCCACATTCTATGATTTAAATTCATTTGCACACACCGAATCAATTTCATTTGCACACATTGGAATCCAGTGCATGAATTCAGACAAATTCAGCCATCTGTTTGAATCTAATAATTGATTGGAGCAAAATTCATTTAGCTCTCAGTTAGTTAGAGGTTAAATAGGAAATAAAGCAAAATGGGGAAGTGTTTGTTAGGCCTTGCAGATGCTGAGGCAGGTGTTGGTGCGGGCTGTTATGATGGCAGATGAGCCTTGCTGGGCTCTCACTGTGCTCACTGGATTCGACTATATCACCTCCTAGTCCTAGGAGCTGCTCTGTGAAGTAGGCAGCTTCACTAACAGCAGCAGCTGCCCCATGATGCAGGTGAAGAAACTGAGGCACGGAGACAGAGTAACTAGCGCAAGTCTCATGGCTGGTCAGGGCTGGGTCAAGATTGGCTTGAGTGCTGATAAGTCCCAGTGCTAAGCCCAGATGTAGCAGGTGTCTCTGCTGATGGGAAACAAGGGCTGCACTGGTAAGTGTAAGATAACGACACTTAGGCTGATGGAGTGTCATCTCAGTGCCCTCCCCACCCTATCTTGCCTTGACTAGCACCCTGGGCTGGTCCTACATTTTGCTCTTACAGAAGCCAAGCCTAGAGTAATGTTCTTAGGTGTCAAGAGGTTTTGAGGCTCTTGCAGTAAAGAACACTGAATCATATCATGACAGAGTTATTGCCTTGCTAATTAATTGTCTTTCTGGTCTTGTGATGACATCAAGGGACAAGTTTGTGCCAGCCTTAAATTCCTCTTCATTGCTAGAAGATCTCCCTTTTCAAAAAAAAGAGGAGCCTGAGGCTGGAGCCCAGGGCCAATAGTATCTGACTGGCCTTGAATAACTCTCTGTTGTTTTTAGTATAATTATCTTTTGCAGTTAATTTTGATATATGACAAATGATACTGGTTTTGTATTTAGGGTAGTACTATAAAGTGCCCTTGAAAGACATTCATTTCTGTGAAAAAGCAAGTAATTTAAAAGTAATAGCACAGATGATACACTGATATGGCAAAAATTGTGGAGCACTGGTGAGGAAGATTGGTTTTGTGTACACTGGGTAGGAGAGCGGGTTACAGTTTTTGAGAATCTTGAAATCAGCATGTGAGAGGCAGGAGCTGTTTCACTGGCCAGCCTTCTGGGATGAGGGCCACAGCCTGGGGTGGGCGTGGCCTGGGCCCTCAAGCTATTTTACTGGTTGCAGGCCCCTGTGTTGTTTTGTTTGTTTGTATTGGTTTTCAATACATTTGAAATGCTCCAATCAGACAGAGTTAGGGAAAAAAATGAATCTTTATTACAAGATTACCTATCTTTAGATCAAAAGGCTTTGCAATGGGAGAATGCAGTCAAGAAAATAATTAGAAGCACAGGTGAGAATGCCTAGCCTGAGGCAGAAATACTTACCCTGGGTGGACACTAAGCCACTGTATGGGGGTCAGATGCCATGGCTCTTGCTGTTGGAGTCCAGAGGTCCCTCCCCTGGGGTTTAGAAGCAGACCAACGTTGGGACCCTGCATACAATCTGAAAACAACTGAAACTGAAGGGGCTTTTCCATGGCATCAGTCTTGGGTGATTTTGCCTGCCAAGTTTACTGTTGATTCTTAAATTCCACTGAGCTGTGTTCTTACTAAATAGAGTACTAACTAAGGCAAGGTGAGTTTGTAGCTCCTGGTTAATCCTGCAACATGATTTCCTTACTTGGCTGTTGCTGTATAGATGGGGTCTGGTCTGCTCATCTTTGTAGCCCAAGACCTGTGCGGTAGTAGGTGCTGTGCATTGACTGATGCTTGGTCCATGCACCCAATTTTTCTTATTAGCAGCCCAGACTTTGTACACAAAGGTTGGGAATTAGTTTCTAGTGGCCATCAGGGAGCTCTGGGCAAGGTTACCACAACCTGGGGACAGAGGTTTTAGATTTATGGGTCTGGGCTGCCCTTCCTGGCAGCAGCGCAGGAGCCATGACTCAGCAGTCCATTGAGATGATTGTCCAGTCATGACCAGAGCATCCTGTTTGGCCATTTTACTACCTCATGCAGTGTGCATATAATCTCCACTTTTAGAATCATGTTTAGAATGTTCCAGAGTCATGTTACTTCTCTATTCTACCACCTATTGCCATTTCTTAAGGAGGCTTTTGTTAGGTCCAAAAAATCCTCCCAAATTAGCCCCAACAGACAAACTCGAGACATGCTCCGATGTAAAGGGCACGAGGTGAGATTTATTCAGACCGGTCTGGACTCTCCTGGCATGCAAGCCGAGGACGAGCCCTGAACCCGGGGTGGAGGAAGTTTTTATGGGGTACAGAAAGCAAGAGGGGTAGGGTCGGATACAAGTACACTTTTCATTGGTGGTTGGTGATTTCATTAGTAAAAGAGGAAGTAAAGGAGGATTTGCATTGGTGGCTGATGATTTCACTAATAAAGGTGAATTTGGATTGGTACAGGTGAGGGGTGGGGGGTCCCTTAACCGGGGGCTACAGTTGGTGCAACCTGGTTACCTGTATTTCAAGGTAATAGAAACTTATTGTTTATTATAGTAGCTATTTGCCTAAGGTGACTCAGTTTACAGC